TACCCAATTCCTAGCAATGCTTGTTATGCGCGTCGCAGATGTTATTGCAGCCAGAAGACCACCCAGAGTCACGAGGGGAGCAGCAAGATGTCGCTGGAATGCATAAAGATGCTATTGTCCACCTTTCCACTGTGATGGAGCTTTTATGGAAGAGGAGGTGACTATACAGCTCTACTTGTCTACTTAAATGGTGAGTGTTCATTACTGTGTTAAGGGCAATTTGCACAGATGAAGGGTTGAATCCCGAATAGTTTCATTTTGGTCCTTCAAATAAACCTACACTGTAGCACTGTTGCGCACACAGCATTTCTTACCCATACACACTCTCCCAGATGGTCATAACCATACATGCAAACAGTGGTATGCGGGTACCCATATGTATAGGAATATATATATATATATATATATGTACATATATATATATATATATACTGTATTTACTCAAATCTAATGCACCATCAAATCTAATGCGCATTCTAATTTTGAAACCTGGAAGACAACTTTTTTTTTCTCTGGCTAATGTAGTGCGCATTTGTACAAGAAGATACTACTGCTGGTTTACTGTACACAGAATAAAAGTCTTGCATCCCTGTTGCAGCGTTGTAAATGCAAATTTTGCCCCATGAATTTTGTCCCAACTAATTTTGCCCCAACGTATGTCCGAGTGGTCATTGTCCGAGTAGGTCGTAAAGTGAGTAGCAACTAGATAAGAAAGAGAGAGTAGTACACATACGTGGTGTGTCTTTATTGCACTGTGCTTACCTTTTTGCTAGTATGTATATAGTATGTATATAGTTTACATTAAGGGATTCCTGTAGACATGTGATGTAGGGACATATCCTCCCCAGAATACCCATCTGTGGATTTTTGCTCATTTTTCATTCTTATAGGAGAAAATTTATTGAAAAACATCATCGTAATAGTCCTTTCTATTTATGAATTCGAGCAAATTAGCTAAATTATTTTTATTATCAAGTGAGCACAATCATAGAAACATTTTGTTCTAAAGTTAAACATCATTCACAAAGATAAATGGCTTTTTTCCTTATGAAATGCCTCAGATTTTTATTTTTTCTCATTTAAACAAATACCAAGAAAAAACAATACTGATCAGACATTCTAGCAACACACATCGCAATTTACCTTTATGTCTTGGACTGTACTGAAAAAAACCTTCTGCTGATTTGAGACCTTTCTAACCCTTATAATAAAAGTTGTTTATCCGTGTCATTATATGGAAAGGTTCATTGGATGTGAAAATGCATTTACAAGGAGACATTGGTCATATCTATAAAAATACTATTTCAAGCAAATGACCCAAATTTTATTAACAATTCCCTTCAAGCAATTTATAATGTTAGAAACATAAATATACAGAATGTATAAACAACAGTAATTATTAGCCCTGCAATTGTTCCAGCTAAAAAACTATTGCATCCAGTTAAAGGCACCCTGTACAAGATCGCTTAGAATTTTCTGAAAGAAATGAATGTCAAACATCAGGTAATAAATTGCATGTGCAAGAATAAATGCAATCAAATAAGGGGGTAGAACTAGACATGTTAACCATTTTTTCTGAAAGATGTAAGAATAGTGGTACTCCACTACAGGAAGAGCAGACGTAATTGAATCACTTTTCAAGGAAACAGTTTTATAAAAATCGGATCCTGCTTAGCAGTAGTTTACAGCAGAACTGCCACTTCTCAGAATCACCCACTGAAAAAGCAGAGGGGTCCAAACCAGTTCTAATGTATGAAATACATTTAGTAGTGGTTAGAGGTTTGCCATGTAAAAGGAGTAATGGTGTATTTGGGTTTAGCCGGATAGTGTTACACAATATGTGTTGAGTAATTTTGACTGGACACCAGTTATTATCAGTGGGGCAGTAGCATACTTTGGTAGGATGGCCTAACTGGTTTGTCTTGGTGTGAGCCATGGTGAGTACATAATGATTTGCATCTTTATGTAGGCTCATAATTTTTAGGTGTTGACTGTTGGACGTGACGTTATCTGTTGTAAAATCGTTTGGACGTAAGAAACCATACAAGGCGAGATAGGCTGCGGTTTTAATGATAAGATTAGTGCTGGCTTCAACGGGTTGGTATCTAGGATGTCTGAACGGGCCCAAAATGAAGGCCCATCAATAGGTTTTCTAGTGGTTGACGTGGATTTGTCTAAACATTGTATGCCTTTCAGTATATTCTTGATGGGATCGGTGGACATGAAAGGATTAGTGCTAAGATAGGCACTTAGGATGTGGTGTTGTATGCCAGTAAGGTAGAGTTTTTTATTGTGCTTAGTGACAATTTTAGGTCAAGGTGGCAAAAAGAAATAAACGCCATTATAAAATCTAGGGAATGTGTGTCACTGATCTGATAGTCTGAAGTGAATTTGGTATAAAGGGTGAAAGCCCTATTGTAAGCTTGAGCTGTGTTGGTCGAGAGGGCAGAACTGGCCAAGTATCTGCTGTGGGCCATAAGGCGACTTAGTCCAGAATTAAGTATTGGTATGAGAGAGTGTTGACCAGCCTGATGTTTGCTGTAGGGCTGTAGACAACACATCACCAGCGGCCTGGGATGTGTATGCATTTGAAGTGAAATTTTACTGTATCTGCTAGCCATGTTACCAAGATAGAGGATCAAGCCACATGAGCAGGTCTGCCTTGGTGTATGTAGCTAAGGGGACAGTACTCTAGCCATCGCAAAGGGGAAGAAGGTACAGTATTCCGGAAACAAAAGCCTGGCCCTCTAGGATAATTATCATAGCGAAGTTCAGCGTGCCCATTGAGGATTGTAGTTCAGCTCTAGTACACGTGACCTTTGCCAGGAAATATGCCACGGACTCTCTGATATGTTGTACCTACTTCATATGTAAACTAGCTCGCTACCAGATTGAGTATAATTGAACACCTAGGAAAGTAAGATGCTAGGGTTGGACAATAAGTATGAATCCAACAAATTGTGAGTTAGTCTTCTTTATTGTTGAATTTCCCTGTGGCTATCCATGTGAGGCTCTAACTATGCATTGGTATACCAGCAGGAAAAGGGTCATTCTGAGCAAGGGGCTATAATAACCTATTGGCAGTTCTTACATCAGTAAAGCCTCAGTGCAGACAGGGTGAAGGAGTGCAGATTGTCAGTTTGGGCATGCATGAACATAAGTGGGGAGTGTGACCAGAACGGAACCCATTAACCAAAAAGTCGACTAATTGATGGAGAGGGGTGTGTCTGGTGGTAATATGCCAGGTTGTAAATGTAAACTTCGGTTAGTCTACTGCTTCGGGCACAGACGGTTAGGACACAGTTTTTTTCTGGGATGGTGAGTTTACGGTTGAGTCTGGGTTCTCTGGCTTTTAAAACAACTGAAAGATCACCATAGCAGTATGCTATGAACGTAAGTGCTAGGTGTTGGTTGGGTGAATGGTGATTTCATTACCGTGAGAGTAAGCTGGGGTGGGAGTCTCTATAGGTGGACCGGCTGTCGACTGCTGAGGAGATTACAATTTCTCAAGTCTAGCACTGATGGTGTTAATTGAAGCAAGCATAAAAGACATTAACGTGTAGGGAATGATGGCCTCTCAGTGACAGACAGAAGACATAATATAATTGGGCGTGACTTCGTGAAGCCCTGACTAGTAACCGACAGCGGTTGATGTGAGGCTCTAACTATGCATTGTGCCGAGGGGCGTATACCTCCTTTGAGGATGGATTTTGTCCCCACAGGAGTAGAATAATTACAGTAAGCTATGGACAATGCAATTAACTAAAAATAACCAGTTGACCAATCCTAGCCTATGGTGGGACGGGAGTATGATGTAATGATGGAGACGTACCTAGCTTACAGTATAGCTAAGATTCTTTATATACAAGGATGAATGCTTGAAAACCTAAAAAAGGGGAAATGTGGAAGATTAGGTAGTATTTGTGCCTCATTTTTTACCATATTGTGAGAAAAACTTACCTGTAGAAAGATTACAGTGATATGTAGTGAAGTTGCTAGTAGTGATTATTTGAAGATAAAACTACAGTTATCCTCTATGAATTGTAAAGAATATAATGATGAAAAGTTATGTGTCACTAGGTATACCTGTTAATCGTGAGTGGAGTAAGAAATCCAATGAATACCCTAAATTTCTGGGGGAGAGTAGTAACGGTAACAAAACCTAAAAGAGAGTATGGACAAGAATGCAAGGGGACGTGAGGTAATTCTCAGCCATGCAAATGCACCTGCATGATGGAAATAAGAAATAACTGCAATAATTTAGTGTGTTAAAAATGATACACCAGGTATACAGTTTACATAGGTAATGTTATAAAATAGGAAAAGAGGTGTAGGGGCCTATGAAGCGGTAGGAGTGTGGTCAGTGAATAGCCAAAGGGATGAAAAAATGGTATCGGTGCATTTGGGGCAGATACGGCTATGTATAACGTGCCGTACGTAGTAGAGAATTTTTGGAATAAAGTGATACATGGGGTATGTTTCCTGAAAATAGCAATGCTAAAGAACATACACAATTATACATACCCTGTGTAAAGGAGAGATATATGTCACTAAGGGATGCTTGGCACACTCCAGCAGTAGAATAAGACTTTGAGGGATTTATACAGTTTTGATAATACCTAGCATAGGGAACATGTAATAATACAAGGGAATTTGGTAACTTAGTACATAAGGCATGAAATTTAATACAGTATGACAGAACAACCGGATAAAATAGCATTCTAATGTCTAAATAAGGACTAACCACCTTCTTATATGTAATACGCATGCATTTATTCCAACGTAGTCCTAAAAGAACAGTAACTTATTATGCAGTTCTCATGATTTACAAATAACATGCACCTAATTTTTTTAACCAAGTCAATACCGATGATATAAAACATGAAGATTAGGATTTGTTAACTGTCCTAATGAAGTTTGGCCGCTAGGGGTCGGAAGTGAGACATCTAGAACCTTGTGTTTGATGAGAAAGATACTAACGAATACCCCTGAACGGGAACATGAAACATAGAACAGAAACTTATGAATTGGATAGGGATGGACAAGGAAACGAAGTGTATGTTCTCAAGAATGTGAGCCGAGCAGCGGCGGAACTTAGTGTTTGTATGGACCCTTTCGGGGAAACTCATGGTTCGTGGACGGATCAGGAGAACGTAACCCGGAAGCAGCGGTAAGGTAAGAGGTCAGCCTGGCACTATTTCTAGTGGGCTCCATCAAGAACAAGGAGTAGAGCGGGGTGTTCGGCTGGAAACAGCTAGGTCTGCCAGTATTCCTATCGGGCTGGATATACTTGGCCATGCGGTGAAGTAGTCTTTCTTGCCAGGAGAACTTGGCTTTAAGGAGACAGCATGGGAATAAAGCCTCAGGTGAGTGAACCAGAACCCCAGTGGTGATGGTTCTGTCATGGAGGAAGCCTGAGTTTTTATAGCTGGTCAACCCCTCTCACAATTATAGGCTACGCCTTCATATGTATCGCAAGCTAGATATAAGCCTAACATCTTATCTTGAAGGGGTTAACTATATAATCAAGAATACAACTAAAACGAACATGTTAAACATTGTACATACCGAAGATGTTAAATGTTTGCACTAAAACAAACTTCTAGGGAATGAAAGTCATGTTTTAAATTTTTGTTCTCTTTTTGCAAGGTGAAATCTCCTTACCTTTTATTTTCAGGTAATGTTCTAACCAAAGTGCAAAATCAATGAAAAATGCAGATCAACAAAATCAGAAACTCTAGTAATATTACCAGTAAACTAGGAATATCATTCTATTGTACTTCATCAAATAGTTAACATTACTATTTATATATTTTTTAATCTAGGTCACAGAAAACATAATACAAAAATTATATTTTCAGACCTAATGTTTATATGTGTACAATACAATTTGTGATTGGAGATCATATTTGTGTTTGAATGTTTAAATACAAATGCTGCTGCTTCTTAAATTATTTCTTTTAGCCTCTTTAATAATTAAGCTATCATCTTGATGTCTGATTAGATTAAGTTGAGAGTCATAAAAGTCATGGTTATTTATGGCAAAGTGCTCCCATGTGGACGTTAAGAAGCTGAAGATACTGAACTACCTTATGGTAATCAGACTATATCTTGTAAAAATGCATTCAAATCGCTTCTCAGGGAGGTTTGCTTGAGACACACTTCATCTGCTGGAGAGGTACTCCCAGATCACATGCAAATGAAGCACTAAAGATAATATACGGTAACACCAAAACAATGAACATCAACAAAAAAATAGGTCAAGTTTGCATCATGCGTTTTAATAATTTCAATAACGTAATACTAATAATGAATAGATATTATGCTATTTTCCTTAACTTTGCCAAACATGCTTTCATAAATTGCACTATTCACAATGCCAGCCTATTCCCTCTTGAGTAAATAACCGTGCATGTCTGCTAAAATATTAGAATTTCTAGAAAGGTACTTCTCAACCTCATACTACTGCTCACTGCAATGTTTATAGTTCAAAGAGTCTTTGGGAACAGTGGATTTTGAATGGTTTGAATTAAACAGGGCTCTTCCAGTACCTATGTCCTGGACTTTGACTGTCTGCAGGATAATGTGCAGCTGGACTTGTGCATTGTCAGTCCAATCTAGGTTTGCAATTATAAGCTATGAGTTTTAGCAATGCAGCCCAAAGATGGATGAATACTGTGGAAGTTTGTTACTGCTTTATCTGTGCCAGGTATAGAGACTCACTCTAGGTACCTGAAAAGCCCCGGTCAAACTGCTGTCAAACTGCTAGAAAATTCACAAAAAAACAGGGCTGTGGTGACCAACATACAATACCCACTACAATGAGCTGAAGTGGCTATGGTGCTTAGAGTATTACTTTAATTATTATAATTATCACTGCAAGAAAACTCACAAAAAAACAGGGCAGCGGCGGCCAACATACAATACCCACTACAATGAGCTGCAGTGGCTATGGTGCTTAGAGTATTATTTTAATTATTATGTAATAAAGCAGTATATATGTATTAGTATTTCTTAGCAAAATCCTGAGTCCTGTCTTGAAAGCACAATATAACTGCCGCTCTTAAGAACTGCGGGTTTGTACCAAAACTCTTCCTTTACAGCTACTTATATTTTGGCTTTGCAATTCCTATTTGTATTTGTTCGGACAATTTGTGTCCTTCAAACTGATCAAAAATAAAATACTCTTTTCTAACGTGTGAAGTAAACAGAACTGCAAATTATTATTTGTCAATAATATTAAAATATTTAGGATATAGGGCATGATAAATCAATATGAACCTGTCAGTAATACAAGTATACATATACAAACAGCATCTGAAAGTATATGTGTGTGTATTAGTATCACGTTAAAAGGGCACTCTAGGGGGGTGTGGCCGACAGCGATACCGAGCAGACGTCTATTAGCAGAGCTCCACTCAAGCCCAGAAACAAACCAAATAAAAGTCATGATTACTGCAGAGATACAGCTCGAGACACAGACAGCCCTTAAGCAGAGAAAATGGGGGGCAAAAATAAGAAGACTCACAACCCAGCTATACCCCACCAGCCAGATATACGAACCTCTTTCGAGAGGCCTGTGATCCCACAGAGACCCATAATGGCACCTGGGGACCACTGTGCCTCCGAAGCATCTGAAGCCTCACTAGAGGAAGAAGAATCTCTACCCTCTCGATCGGAAGCCTTATCTTGCTTATCGGAGTCTGAAGATGATGAGACAACCTCCACAAAGGGGGACATAAAAAGACTCCTGGCAGAATTGAGGAAGGTCTGGGGAGCCGACCTCAAGACAGTCCAGAAAGAGGTGGAGGTGGTGCGCCACATGGTTCAAGACCAAGAAACACATGAGACATCAAGAGAAGACAAACTCCGGGCTACTGACACTAGCTTGCCTCTCAGGTGCACCAATTAAGATGCACAGTGACCACAATTGAGGCACAACATCGGTGTAAAAACCTGCGCCTGAGAGGTGTTCACAAAATGGTGGACAACGAGCAGGTCCTGCCCTATATCCACAACCTTATAACCACCATGGGCATTGGAGGCAGCGCTGATATGCCATGGGTAACCTCTGCATTTCGAGTGTGGAAGCCTGCAGCAGCACCCAGTGAAGCACCCAGAGATCTCATCATGCTGACCCGGGACATCTCCGTGAGGTCTGCTATAATGATCCGATCCAGAGAAATGGGGACGATACCTCACAAGGGCCACAAGGTGGCTATCTACCCAGACATACCATTTTCTGTCCTAATGGAAAAAAGGAAACTGTCGCCTATAGCCAGAAAACTGTGAGATTCTAAGATACGCTAGCATTGGGTAGTGGAGGGATCCCTCCTCACTGAAATTGAGGGAGAGAGCCTTACACTGACATCAGAGGGTGATCCGGAGCTATTCCTACAATAAGCGGGCCTGTCCACCCAGCCAAGACAGGGACCCTCTTTACGTATCAAGAGACCCAAGGAACCAGAGGGCTCCAACAACCGTATACACAGCAAGCCGCCCAGTAACAAAGTCAAGAGACTATCACCATTACCCAGGGCCACAGATCCAAGATCCTACAAGTAGAAGAGGGTTCACCCAGTGAATGGTACCAGCAGGGACTTACTTTGGTGACTCATATTAGCCCACTGATTCACTGGGGCTCGGCTACAGGTCTTTATGGACAGTATTGTGGCTAACACAAATTGTTAAAGTTATTGATAACTAGTCAATGTTACATTTATTGTCCCCAATATGATTTCAATATGATATCACATGTTTTCTATTTAAGCTAGTTTGGAAAAGTTATACATGCTGTTTTCAACTTAATAAAATACAAATTGGAAAAAAAAATGGATACTCCAGAATAGATAATCAAAAACAATACAAAACAAATACTAAAAAGAAATAGAAAAGATACTTACCGGTTTCTGCTTATACTGCAAATTTCTACACTAGAAATTATCATAAAACTCTAGAACAAGTGCACATTTATATAACGTACCTGAAACTAAATAATAATCCACTGTAACTGTTTTTTTCTGCCATTGAAATAAACAAATACTCATCTTATATTAACTGTAAGTAATGAGAATTTTATGAGACATATAATAATATTTATGAGACATATAATAACATTTATTAGACGGGGCCGACCAGGGGGCCGAGGGGCATTTGCCCCTTGAATCGGTCACTGTTGTTGGGCTGCTTCATCCTGTTGTACAATGTTTAGTCTTTGTGACTACTAGGAATAGTGAGAAAAGGACCGAGAAAGTAGTACTGGGGAAGGGGGAAATTATGCTAAGAAGGGGAAACAAAGGAGGCATTGCAATGAGGCTAGGGAGATAAAAGGGGGAGTTGTACTAAATATGGTTAAAAGAGTGGAACAGATGCAATGACAATGTAGATAAAAGAGGAGACATTGTTATAGGAAAGGAAAAATTTGAAATATTTAAAAAATGGTTAATGTATATTGTATTCCATATGTGTAATGTAATCTAGAATTCAATAAAAAAATTGCAGTGAAAACTTGAACTATAGCACCCAAAAGAGCCTTGATCCTAATATTTGACACATCAAATAATTACTTTTTTTAAGTTATTTAATTTCAGTACAACATAAATGGTCCATTAAATGTGCTCTATGTGGACTAAATGGGGGAAATAAGCTGGAAACCCAAAATCCCCCAAAATATTTAACTTGATGGCTGGTGCAGTTTTTACTTTTTTCTCATTGTAAAAGTTTTCAGCATTTATGATCTCTTTTAAAAATTGTATTCCTAAAAACTTCACAATTTACTTTAACCCCTTAAGGACACATGACATGTGTGACATGTCATGATTCCCTTTTATTCCAGAAGTTTAGTCCTTAAGGGGTTAAAATATTTTTGAAGACTGATTTGTATATTATGGGAAAAATATTTTACTCCTTGACAGCAGCTCTTTCCCTTTTATCCAGATATGACAGTAAGTTAGACATTATAGCGCCAAAGTTTAAAAGAGCCCAAACAGTTGTCATGTATAGAATTTGACAGTTAACAATGTGCTTTTTAAAAATAAACAAACTAAGTCTAAGTTCTTTACTTTATCTCTTTCTTGTGACCATTTTAGTATTTGTTTTTGCCAAGATGTGTAGTATTATATTTTGTAATCATATTGCATTCTAATTGTATACCTTATGCAACATGAGGTA